CTGTGTTTTCCACGCTTATTTCTTGGAGCAGGAAAATTTTTTTGCAAATTTTTAACAATACGTTCAACCCTTTTTTCCACTCACACCATATATTCCATGAAAGGCTATTTTACATTCTTTGCTTTTTTTCCTATTTGTATTGTATATACACAAGAACATGAACGTGTGGGGCCGTTACCAGAGTTAGGCCTACGTCTTTTAACTGATTTTATTTGAATTTGTCCTCCAATAAAAACATCCTGTTTTTCTTCATCTATTATAAGTTTCTAAAAGTTGCAACTTTATAATATGTGATCTTTTATCAAAGCATTTTGCCCTACAGTTGCAAGGGTCTCCAGTTTTTCTCTCCTGCTTAAGAGTTTTTTTACTATTCTTGAACCCTATGTAAGTCTTCCCTTCAGCTTTCGTATTCTTAGCAATATTTCATTGCAATTTTTGATGCGTTTTCTTGAAAGTTTTATTTTATTTACTTCAGAAATACTTTGTACTAAGGTTGAAATATCGGCACTTGCATTAAAGACAAATGTTACTTACACTAGACATAGTGCTGTTGAGGATAAAATCTGTGTCATTAACCGAATTGTCAAATATACTGCTGTCACTTGCAATACAAATAGCCATATTATTTATTCTATTAAGTAATGTCCATTATGTACTGTAATTGACAATTAGATTTATACCATATAATTACAATTAGATTTATACCAGTATAAGACTTAAATAAACACTAAAAATAATTCAACCAAACTTCCATGTCTTTCAAAATCATAATAAAACTCGAAATTAACAAACAAGCGTAGAAAACAGAAAATACATCCGATGCGCATCGGATGTATTTTCTGTATTTTGCTTTTTGCATATGCAAAAAGACGGTAACTCTGGAGTTACTTCGTTTATGCACCAAATGATTGTAGGGAATAAGTATTATTCATTTTTATTTTGAGTTGAATGGCATAAGGAGAGCTCTGATCAAAGTTCTTTTAGCACCAACTTTTTTTAAGCTTTTTTTAAGTAGTAATAATATGTTTTAACCTGAAAATTGACCAAAAGTGGAGTTACATCGTTTTTGCACCGGGGTCTTCAATTGACTTCGACAAATCACATAATAGTTATTTTCGCTAAGGGTAATTAAAAAGTAAGATATAAACTAATCTAATGGGACTTTATATTAATTTTTATGTGAACTTATTAATTAGAAAAATAACATTCGTTTAGATTTTGCTATTAGATTTACTCCAAATGGTAAAACCTTGATATCTTATATTTGATATCCATTTAAACAAATAAAAAGATTATTGACATAATTTTTTTATTTGTTTAAATGGCATTTAACAAATAAGGCGTTTTAAAAAATGCGCTGAAAATTCAAAGAAAATTTAAAATTTATCCAAAAAAAAAATCTTAAAGAAAAAGAAAAATCTAAGCTCAAAAAACTAAAATTTTGAAAGAAAATATATATTAATAATATTAATATATATTTATATTATTAATTTATATTTATATTACGTTTTTAAATAAATTACTATACTACACGAAATGCTTTGTAAATTATTATAAATTACAAATATATTATTATTTTATTAAATACATAATTATATATTATTATATTAAATATATTATTATAAATAATAAATTAATAGCTTATTACTTTATTAAATAAAGTAACAAATTAATTCTAATAATTGTTTACAATTATCCTATTTTATTCAAATTATCAAAGAATATTATACGTAATTATTTTTATATAAATATGTATTTTTCAATAAAACTTTTTCTTTACTTTTATAAACACTAGCAAAAAACTTTAGCGCGAAAACAAACGTTACGTAACTAAACTCAAATTTAATAGTGTAATAAAAAGCATTGTTTTCTATAAGCAGTGAAAAAACTATTACGTTAAAATTTTTGTAAAACAATTTTAAAAAGGGTTTTAAAAGATGAAATACTCGTTCGAAATTTATATTATTTTAAATTTATATTGAAAATTATACAGAAATATAAGTTTGAGCTAATAATTTATTGCAAAGTTTTAATATAAAAGATAAAAGCCGGGCTGCTTAATTCAAAAAAAAAATAATGTTTTGGCGACTTAAAAACTGATTTAGCTCAAAAAAAATGACGTATTTTATTAACGTAACTGAGTGTTTAACATTTTCTGTTGCTTATAAAAAAATAAAATGTTCAAAAAAATAAGTTTATATACAATACTGAATTTATCCAACAATTTTGGATTAACTAAAATGATTATAAAATAAATGTACGCAAAATATGGGTCGGACAAAAAATGACTGATAGATGTCGTTTTTTACCGTACAATGTCCGATGCCCGGCGGCTATTTTGAGCCCTGTACTATATCTATGTATGTATGAATGAATATCAACATTTTCATATATATGAAAAATATTATAAAAAGCACGACATCCACTTGTAACGTGTTCGCTATCTTTCATAAATTTTTTGTATATTTATGCAGCCTGGATTTTATTTTCTCTGAAAAATGTTTCTTAAATTTTTATTGTTAGTTTATATTTTTATATAAAAAGAAATTATATGGCAAAAATTATTTTCATCATTCAAAATATTAGTTTATAAATTCTTCTAGTAAATTAATTAGTCAAACAATTGTTCTAAATTAGAAATTGATGTTAACCCTTTCTTTACCGACGGTACTTTTAAGTACCGTCGGTAATGTAAAAGAAGTCGCATTTTCTTCACAAAAATATTTTTTTCCGGGTAAAGAATGTTTTTGCTTTACCTTTTGAGCTGAGAAAATGCTAAGATATTGATGATTTAGCGGAAAATTTTATCTTTTTTTTTTTCAAAATAGAAGAGTAGCGCAGAGCAATCAATAAAAAATCTAGCAATAGCAAAAACTAGGTTAATTTGTTTGGTTATTATAGTGACATAAGCATTGCTTTTTCTCTTGAATAAAAAAAACAAACATTAATAGTTCATGTTAGTTAATATTAAAAATAAAATTAACATAAATTTGAGAAAGATTTTTTTACTTTGAAGTGCAAAGTCTGTTTCTTTGACAATAGTTTTAAACTTGTAATTTTTTACAAAAATCGTCTCTTTTTAATAAGGAATTATTAGAAAATAAAAATTAGTAATTTTTTGAACTTTTTTACATGGTCTGGTAAAGAAAGGGTTAAAAGAAATCAGTTCTTTTTAATGTCAAGAAGTTACTTAAGTTCTGTTGTAAGTCTCAAAAACAGTTTCCAAAAAGATGTTTTGTTGCATTTTAATATATTTTTAAATTTCAATTGCAAAATTTGAAATTAAATTTTCCATTAATTTATAGACCTATGTTTTTATGCAATTTTTAATCAGTAGAAAATTCTTAATTATAATCATTGTTAATAATAGGAGGGGATAAAATTCTCAGCTTATCCCTTTTTTAGCCTATTTTTGGCTGTCAGCACTTTATTCAAATTTCAAAAACCATTTTTTTAATAAGTAAACTACAATTACTTACAAATAAAAGTTTTCATTCAGGTCCACTGTAAAATTCAGCAATGGGTCTGTTCTAGTTTTTTGGTATGTAATATAGTTAACTTTCAGATGTGAAGCAAACTTCAAACTTTTGCATATTTCTGATTGTGTCAAATAAGGAAGTTTTTTGCAAAAATGTTGATGACTAAGGTAAAAAAAAACCCTAAAGTTTCCCTTAAAACATATCCGAGTGCATGGAGTTTATTTTTAAAAAAAAATTTATTTATTGATACGTTTTAAAGTACATATAAATTTTTATTTATTGACGAGTACATTAAAGTACATACAATAAACAAGTGTTCAAAAACCGTGTTTTAGTCTTTGCATAGTAATAAAAAACTTCATCTCAAATCAAATCACACTTTTATGTTAACCACATTGGTTTAATGGATAGAAATGATAGTTTTAAATACTGAAAAAAATGTAATCAACTTTTAAATATAGTTTTTTGCTAAATATTACAAGAAGTAATCTTGTAATTAAGAGATATTTAAAAAAAAATTATATTTGTGGTACCTCGATAAAATTGGCTTTAATAATGTGAATTATCTAACCATAATTACTTCGCCTTTGATTATTTTACTTTGATTCTTTACCCTTTTAATCAATAGTTTGTAATTAATATTTAATATTTAGAATTTTTGCATTGTTTATTACTTGTATCTTTTAAATCACATTAGTTTCAATAATTTACAATTAATGTTTTGTTATAAATAATATCCAACTCGCTCTAGAAATTTCATACAGTGGTTTTAATGGTATCCAGGTAACATTTTATATAAACAATATCAAATTCACACCAGAACTTCTCATAAAATTCAAATTTAAATATAAACAGAAAAATTTGGGCAGCCTTTAAAGTTAACAATAACAAATATAAGTTTATATTTTTTTATATTAATTACGACACATGTTATTTTGAAAAGAAAAAAAAGAAAAATACAAAGTTTTGTTACAAAAAACAGGATAAATCAGGTTATCTTTTAACCCAGATTAGAGGCCTTGTTAAAAAAAAGAAGTTATTTCGCAAAAAGATGGTCGTGTTTTATTCTGATTGTGCTATGTTTTGTATGACTCAAAAAAAATTCCTGCTTTAAAAAGTATTTTGAAATGCGATTTAGATATTAGCAAAGTTTAACAACTCCCATGACGTTTCGTCATCTTTGATAACGTTTTAATTATTTAACTGTATTGACTTTCTTTTTTTTGAATTTTTGTTCAAAATTTAGTTCAATTATTAGATAAGCTATTTCGTAGATGAAACGGCAATGTCAATTTATTTTACTGAAAATTAGTTTTGTTTAAAATAGTAACCTGATGAATAATATTCATAAATTTAAAATATCTGAAAAGGTAATAATTAAAAAAGTTTCTTTGAAAGCAATTTATAGTTTTTACCGTTTCTTTGACGATCTGGTTATTTTGTATAGAACTGTAACTTGTATAGAACTTGTATGTTTACTATCAACGTTGTAAATGTGTTTTATGTTTAATTATTTTACAGAGCGTTTCGCCGACACCTCGTCTTTGTATTCGAGTTGCATGTGGAAGTGTTGCTAAAACAACTCGAGAACGCGGAGGTCAATATTGCAGTAACGAATGTCTTGTCCTCTACTGCAGGTTCGTTATGATCAGAATTGCATTTGAAAACGACTTAATACTTCGACTTAATTATGTCTTTGTAATTAGCAAACGTTTCCTTTTTTTCTTTTTTTTAATCATCAATTTTTTAAGTAATAAAATTTTTTTTGAGAGTTTGATTGAGAAAAGGTTTTATTTAATACTATTAATATAGTTAAATAAGTTTTTTTACCAAATTTTTTTTTATCATGTTTAATAACTACAGATTTTGTAATATATTTATAATTTCAAATTATATTTCGTAAAATAGTAAATGTATTAATACTTTAAATGAAGACACAAATTTTGCCGTCGCCGGCTTTTATTTTTAAACCCGTTTATATGTTCGTTATATATTTTCATAAAGGTAAATACTATCAGACTGAATTGTATCATGCTTGTCTCAATTTAGAATTGGTTAAGGTTGCATAAGTGACCCAAAAATCAACTTTATAGTCTTGTGAATTAATATATTTCAAAATAATAACTGCTCTACAGTTAATGGCGATATATCGGTATTTTTTTTAAATTGCGGAACGATAAAAAAAATATTTCTCAATAACAAATAATAGGATATATTGCCCTTGATATATTGCTAATTATCAAGTTGATTTTTAATAATTCTTTATATAAATCCTAATTAAAGACAAATTAATATTAGGTTTTAAAAATTTAAATTTCTTAAATTACAATTTGCATATATATTTCTATTGTTTCTAGAGAGGTTTTCGACTCTTGGGTGTTCGACAGACAAAATGAAGAGAGTGGAATGGTCACCTAAGTACGACTATTGGAAATTACTAACTCTGCAAACATTACTCTGATTCTACAAGAGAGAGAATTTTTCGCTGAAAGTTTTCAAACGCATGCTTTTAGTTACTTCACTTAGCAGATTATTTGCTTGAAGATTATAAATATATACATTATTTGTTAGTTAAATTCATCGGGCAAGTTTTTGGCTGAAGATAAATTTTTTAATTAGCCAGCGAGTGACAGTTTTTTTTTTTTTTTTTTTTTTATTATAAATTTTACTTTATTTTTAAAAAAAAATCATTTTTTAGTTTGCTTACTAATTCTTTCAATTTCTCATTTGTTATCTAATTTCCAAAAATGTTAATTCTTGCTTTGACCTGGGAGGTTAGACCATGATTTGGTAAAAAATACACGTTTAAAGAAATCCTTTATCTTTGTCAGTTTTGTTTTTTAGACAACAGTTTTTTGTTAAATTGTACATTTTTATCAGACACGCGAAACACTAATAATATTTCGCTAAAATAAATTAAGATTGCAGGTTTTCTAAGTTTTTCTTGGATATATTTTCAAAATATAAGATTAAGTTAGATATCTTATTTCCAAAAATGTTAATTCTTGCTTTGACCTAGAAAGTTATTCATGGTTTGTAAAAAATACACGTTTTAAAAAATCCTTCGTTTTGGTCAATTTTGTTTTTAGATTTTTGGTCAATTTGTAAATTTTCCTCAGAAATGCGATAAAATAATAAAATTTTGCTAAAACAGATAATAATTACAGATTTTTCCTCGATATATTTTTAAAAGCTCAGAGTTAGATGTAAATTTGTTGTTGGAATCCAGCACTCGAAATTAAAAAAAAAAAAAGAATGATATAAGATAGGTTTACTTATTGAGTATTTTTGGTGCTTCAAAAAATATATAAAACATTTTGTGTCTAGCCTGGTCTGATATTGTTATTATTATACGACTAGTTTCGCAGGACATAAAGGTTGGTGTAAAACATTAATGCTACTTCAAAGAAAGAGAATTTGAATAAATCTTCAACTTATTTTTGACATTAGTAATACATTAGCAGTTTAATTATCCACTCTTTTTTTACTAATTATTTCAGAAATAAATAAAAAAAATTTAACTTAGAATTAATTATATATATATTATCGAATTCACGTTTAGAATTATATTCTACCTATCGTTATAAAAAAAATTATATAATTATTTTATTAAAATAAATAATTATTTCAGAAACAAATAGAAAGTTTTTACTGAAAAATAATTTTATATATATTCTAATTCCCGTTAAGAATTAATATATAATCTAGCTATCGTTTTAGAAAAATTAAGATTTATAATTCAACAAATTTTTGAACTTTAATTTACAATGAAGACGGTTAACTTCTAAACGGATTGCGTAAGCAAAATAGAATGAAACAAACGTCTTATTTTTTCTTATTTCAGTAGCTATAAGAGCAATATATATCATGAAACACATTGTTTTTAATCATCAGTTAAGACGATCATTTTAAATATAATTTTTTTTCTTTGGATTTGTTAATCCAAAGATTATCAAACTCTCTATTTAAACGATTAAATATATTCATAAATCCTCTACTATAATTTGAAAACTAATTGATGTACTATATTTTGTTTGTTTTTTTCGTTTTTGGTTTTTGAATTCTTTTATGAAAACTTATAATAATCATCTGCTTAAATTTTATTTGTATGTTTTTGTAATGATTAGTGTATTTCTATATAATAGGTATAGGACAAATTTGGATGATTCTACTGCACGGCATTAGCTTTAGTTGATAATTTATAACTGAACTGTTTTTTGAAAATCAAAAATAGAAAAAACTTTTTTCATCTGAAAGTGGCTTGGTTTTTTTGATTCAAGTTAACATATTGGTGATTTTCAAAATGATATCCTTTTCGGACATAAATTGAGCTTCTCGAATAATACAACTCACAAAATATCCCAACAATTAAAAAAAGAAGCGAAAATCATACTTTATATTTTGTGAGTGTTGATTTGTTCTGATTCATGAGAAGCAATAATATTTTTCGAGAAAAGTCAGCAAAATAAAATTTATTCAACAGTAGTCAACGGTAGGATATTTTTGAATAACATTTTCCGAAATTTTTGAACGCAATGCATAATTGCAAGTGGTCAGCTTGGATTGATTGTTTTTTCACAAATATAGGAGTTTATTAAAGAAATTAGGAAATTAAAAATACACAAAAAAAAATATTTAAAATAAAATATATTATTGTATCAATGTATTATTAAGAATTCTAAAAAAAAAGGATTCCTTAAAAATACTAACACTTATAATTACTGAGTTTTATAAACTTTTGATCTTAATGGCTTTTTTCTCAATAATATTTTTAATTATTTTTATAACTGTTCTAATTTTTGAACTTTTTATAACTGTTATAACACATGCTTTTACCAAAGTAAGTAAAGTAGCATAAATTGAAAAAGATTTTTTTTTTTTCAAATGAACATTTTGTAAAACAAAAAGAAAAAACTCTCGAATTTTACCAACGAAGACATAAGTAAAACAATATATTATAAAACTCTGGTTGATCAAACCTCCATTGGGAAATAAGAGTCAACTATCAATAACTGAAAAAAAAAACAACAACTAAAAAGTGCTAATTTTTTAGTTGCGAACTATGTTCTCTTTCCTCGCCTTGTCTCTATCACATATAGAAAGCAAGAGCTACGTTCTTAGGACAACTAAGCTACTTATCAATCAACTTTCAAGAGTCAAGCATCAAAAAATCATAAAATTTAGCACACATCAAGTGGAGCTATATATTGTTTTAATAAAGCTTTAATTTAAGAGAGCTTGAGTTAAGCAACAAATGGATAAAGTGAGACAAGTGCAGCAAACCATATCTTCCCAGTGTTCTGGCATCGCTTTTGATAAAATATACTACAAGCTCCCCATTGAAAACACCAACTCAGGGACGTTGTCTTGGGAGTAGCGGGTAGGGGTGGGAGCTTTCTCCCAGAATCTAGGTAAGAAAATAGCTGGGAATTTCCTTGTTGCTTCGAGTTAGGACAATTAGGAATTTTCCAACTGGGGAAATTCGGCATTAGGTTTGTAGGAAAAGGTCTAAAGTGTATAAAAATATATAATGAGATTGTTATTCTTATTCAATTATCATTAAAGTGATAACTTCTATAAAAATTAACTTATTTTAAAATTACGGTAAATTATAGTATCTGCGTTTGTATATAAAACATTACGTAAACGTCACGGAATGAAATGTTTTTGTTTAGTTCTGTATGATATTTTTTTGGTCGATGATATTGTTCCGGCACCGGATCCCAAAGTAAAATGGTTATTCTTCCGGCACACGTGCGCAGTATCCATACGCATGTTTACCAATCAAATTTTTCAGCGAAAATAATAAAATTAAGATTATTTTTGCTTTTTTTTTTTTTATAGGAAGTCATTATGGGATGGGACAGATTGTTTTTCCACATATAATTTTTTATAGGAACATATATTTTTTTATAGGAAGTCTTTATGGGATGGGATAGATTGTTTTTCCACATATAAACAAAGCATAAAATTTTCAAAATGTTGAGTTCAAATATATTCAAAATTTTCATTTTAATAAGATAAGGTTTACAATGAGAAAAACGATCAGCAAAGTTAATTATGCAAATTGCTCGTTTCTGACAGCGATAAAGACGATGTAATTTACTTTTTTCAGAACTTCCCCAGGCAATATTAGCGTAGTTTATGTAGCAGTGAATAAATGAGAAATAAAGTCGTCCTAAGTTTTTCTTATTGAGATAAATTCGAGCTTTGTATAAAACTCCAATACTTTTAGAGACTTTAGTGCATGCATAATTAATATGTTGATTCCAATTAATGTTCTCATCGAGATAAACACCTAAGAATTTAATAACAGAGTCTTTTTTTATTTTAATATCATCAATAAAGAATTGAGGCAAGTTTGAGGATAAAAATTTTCTTAAGCGAATGAAAGAGAGACCATTTTGTTTTGTCAGTTTTTAATTTTAATTTATTGGATTTGAACCAATGGGATAAAAGTTTAAGCTCTTTATTTACTGCGGCAAAAAGTTCGCTAATATTACTCTTAGAGATGAATAAGTTAGTATCATCAGCAAACATGATGCTCATCAGTTGCTTTATTTAGATCGTTTATATAAATAAAAAAGGAGGGGTCCGAGGATTGAACCTTGCGGAACTCCACGGGTTATACTTAAATAATTGTTGTGATAGTTGTCATTACCAACAACAAATTGTTTTCTGTTTGTTAAGTAACTTCTGAACCATCTTAACGCTTGGTTATTTGCTCCATAGTATTTCAGTTTTTTGAGTAAGATGTGATGGTCAACTGTAGCAAAAGCCTTTGTCTGTTTACATTGTTCGCACGATTTTGAAATTTCATTTACAAATTGGATAATTACATGCTCTGTTGAGCTATCCTTTTTAAAATCAAATTGATTAACATAGAGTAGGTTATTTTTGTCAAGGTGTTTATATATTCTGTTGCGCATAATTTTTTCTAGGATTTTTGAAAATACAGAAAGCACAGAGATGGGACAATAATTAGTTATTTAGGAATGGTCACCCTCTTTATAAATAGGTATAACTTTGGCAATTTTTAATTGTTCTGGAGAAATTCCTTGTTTATTTGAGGCATTGAAAACTTTGAAAAGAACATCTTTTAGTTGCTCAAAGCAATCTATAATCATGTTTCCATTTATTTTGTCTGGTCCACATGACTTATTCTTTTTAATAGATTTGAGCGCCTTTTCAAGTTCTTCACTTGATAAATCAGAGGATAGCTCATCAGAGCGTATGCACTTATCCAAGGATAATAAAAAGTCACTAAACAAAGTTCTGGTGATATGAATCTTATTTGATAGTTTAGGACCTATTTCAGTAAAAAATTTATTAAATTTATGAGATATAGCGTTTGGTTCAAATATACAAGTGTTATTAATTTTAATCATTTGTGGCAGAAAACCAAAGCATGATTTTTGTTTTCCTATAATTTCTTTCATTATTTCCCAAATGCGCTTTGTGTTATTTGAATTTGTTAAGTAATTCCGAGTAATAATTTTTTTTTTAATTTTTACGAATTTTCTCAAATAAATATTTATAGTTTTTGTAAATTTTTTCGTTTGCAGTTGTTTTTGTGTTTAGAAAATTTATATATAACTTCTGCTGGATTTTGGAAGATTTTTTAAACTTCTTGGCAAATCAAGGAGAATTCAAACTCTTGGATTTTGCTATTATTTCAACTATGGGAAAGTTGGCGTCATATACAGAATAGAAAGTTTTGAAGAAAGTTTCATATATGTCGTTTGCATTATTGTTTATGTCAATATTATTCCAATGGAGTAAGAATAGCTGGCCTTTAAATAAATTAAGGTTCTGAATAATATTACGTTTCTTCAATACTTTTTTATTGTCAATTTTTTTTGTTAAATATGTATCAATTGTTACAAAAATAGAAAAATGGTCCGTTATATTAGTTTTTAAAATCCCTTTT